CTCTCTCTCTCTCTCTCTCTCTCTCTCTCTCTCTCTCTCTCTCTCTCTCTCTCTCTCTCTCTCACACACACACACACACACACACACACACTCGCATTCCTCCTTTCTTCCTTCTCCACTGCCTCCGTTCCGCCTGTCCAACTTGTGCCCTCCGCTCCCCTCCCGATCTTTCCCCCACCGATCCGCTTTTCGCATCCTCTTCTCTCGTTGTCCTGTAACGGTCGCCTCTCTCCTGGATCGTCTTCGAGCGTCTTCGAGCTCCCACTCCACCAACACTCGATGTGGCCCCTGTGGATCTGGTATGTCCTTTCCTCTCTTCCTCTGTCTGTCGATCTTTCTCGCTTTATCGCTCTCTCTCTCTCTCTCTCCATCACCTTCATCTCCACATTTACCCTATCCCTCTCATAATTCAGGCCATTCGTCATTATCCTGATCTCGTCTATCCCTACCTGTTCCCCTGCCTCCGCGTTGAGCCCCTCTTCCTGCCTTGCAATCTCTTCTTCCCCACCTTGTCCGGATCCCAATCCACGACCTGCATTTCTTACCCTGTTGCCTTGGCGTTCTTTCCCCTGCACTTCATCCGCTCTTACGTCGTCACCCTGATTGGTTACCACTCCGACCTTCTCCTCCTCTCGGTTCCACATCCCGATCGCGCCGCCGCCTCCCCCCTCCCAAGAATCCGCGCTGCCCATCCCTTTCTTCGCGGATCCCGACTTACATCCTCCTCCCATTTAGTCTAGGACCCTCCTCGAGGTCTTCCTCCTCCGCAACCTCCTTAACGCTATCCCGCCGACTCTCCTTCTGCTTCCTCTGTCGTCGCATCCCATGCTGACCGACCAAATCCCAACCCTCTCATACTCCTGATCCCGCATCCTCGCCCCAACCCTTCGTCCTTCTCCTGCTACTGCAGCCCCTCAAGATTTCGATGGCGACCTTCTCCCGCCTGCCTGACCATGCACTTGACCTCCTGTCCATGGCCGCTATCGGAAAGGAGTAGACGGGATCATGCCGCCAATGCGGAGAGGCACTCCAACAAAAAATGGAGTTGCTGCCCTAAACGAATGAATGAATAGATGGAAGGAGGGGGGAAGTTGGGATGTACGGAGAGATGGATAGAGAGAGAGAGAGAGAGAGAGAGAGAGAGAGAGAGAGAGAGAGAGAGGGTGCACTCGCGCACGCTGGGCGAACCGACCTATTTCGTTTTTGGGCCGACTGTGAGCCTAACTCTCCACCTCTTCATGCACAACACCGCTGAGAGAGAGAGAGACAGGGAGGGAGGGAGGGAGGGAAGGGGAGAGAGAGAGAGAGAGGGGGGGGGGGGGGGGGGGGGGGGGGGGGG